GTGCATTGGCTGCTGCCGCTTTGTAATTTAATTGTTTTAAACCTCAAACGAACAGGACTGCCGCTGTCACTCAGGCCCTCCAGAGCCACTGGCTGCAAAGGTTCGACCTCCAGCTGGGATCTCCTAATGCCCCTGTCAAACAGGACAGACATAGTAACAGAACAGAAGACAATAAACACACAGATGAGTTCCGGGAACTTACACTACACACGTGGCCAAGTCTGCCTGAGGAGGTGGAGGCTGGGGGAGAAGCTAGTACTGAAATATAACATCGCCTCCCATTCGCTGAGCACTGACTAAATGCTTTACTCATTAAGCCTATTTCATTCTCACAACTTCACGAGGCAGGCACCGCCCTTTCCCTCTTTGACAGCTAAGGAAACCGAGGCTTAGGGGGAGGAGGTAACCTTTGTCTCCCTCTCCACCCAATCTGGAGGCCTGGAGCTACTAGCCCCAACTCTGTCTGATTTAAGAGCAGAACCTGTTACCACCACACTGTGCAGCCCTTGCCATTCCTCCGGGGCGGCCCCTATCTCCTCCCTCAATGCCAACTCTCCACCACCTCTGACCCCACCTGTCCCAGCCCCTCCCCACCCCCCACCAGGTGCACCTGTGGCTGAGCTCACTGCAGCGGTGCGGCAGGGGCCCCTGAGCAGTGATAGTGGACATTGAGCCACTTGCCATCCCGGCGGTGCCAGACCCGGGTCTCCTCCGACTGGCTGGTGCGAGGCCGGCCCTGCCCATCGATGTACTGGGTGAGGCGGATGTAGGCGATGCAGGCAGCGTCCTCTCCGATCACGTGGACGTGTGGGTTCAGGATGGTGGTGTGAATGGGCTTGCTGTTCTTGGACAGGACTGCGGGGGGCAGGGCAGGGTGAGTTAGGTAGGAAGGCGCCAGGCCCGCGCACTGACACTTCCTCTCAGCCTGCACTTCTAAGTCTCACCCTCTCTCGGCAACCACGCTGGGAGTTCTCCAAGTCCCCCATACATTTCCAGAGGCCAGGCAGCCTCATCACATTAGTCTCCGTTACCCAAAAGGAAGAGGAGGGTGGGAACAATGATAACAGCAGCTACTGTTTTAATCAGATATTGTGCTGGGGGTTTTACATGCATGAGCTGTAATTCTTTGGTTGATACCATTTTCTTCATTATAAGGTAAGGACAGGGGCTCAAGGAGGTTAAGTAATTTCCCCAAATCACACAACATTTGAGCTCAGGACCATCTTACTCTTAACTAAAGCCTCTTCTCTTTCCTCTGATGTTTAGATTTCATAAGGGTTGGCTTGTTGCCAATTAGGGCTATAGAGCAAAATCAAGAACTTAAAATATTCCAAATGGATTTGTGATTAAAAAAAAAAAAAAGATCCAAAGGTCAAATTGAATCATCCAAGCACCAAGCTCAGGATATTCCCAGGATCCTTTGGGGGAAAGCCAAAAGATTGCCATTATCAGCAAACACTGTCAACTGTGTTACTTTTATTGAGATTCACATCTTAGTTCAAATGTTAGGTAGGGGCTACATGAAAACTTCCCTAGAGCTTCTATAAACCCTGGAATTGCTTCTGGCTAATAGAATTACTTAGAGAGCCTAGGGTTTACATTTGCAGCTGAGACGTGGAGAGGATGGTAGTTAGTAGAGAAAACGGCAACAAAATAAAATTCAGGGCAGGATGGGGAAGCCCCAGGACAAAGTGAGAAGGAAATAAAAAAGGAGGGAGGGAGGGAGGAAGGAGGGCCTTAGAGAGTGGAGAGAAAGACGGGAGGTGACTATTTAGCTTCTTATCCCCCGGGATTCCGTGGACCGTCTAGTGCACAACCCCCAGCCAGGGCGCCCGGCTCCCTCGATACTCAGGAAGACCCTAGCCACAACGTGCAGTCTCACAAGTCACCAGCAGTGCCTGTTCCTTGCTTGCACATTCTCATCCTGGCTTTAATTTCTTTACTGTGACATCTGCAGACACAGAGCAGTATTACTCGCTGAGACCACCTTAACTTCGTCTCAGATGGTTTCCAATCATCTTGAAAAGAGACGAGGCTTGCCCTGGCCGGTGTGGCTCAGCTGGCTGGAGCACCGTCCCATGCACGGAAAGGTGGCAGGTTCTATTCCCGGTCAGGGCACATACCCAGGTTGTGGGTTCGATCCCCGGTTGAGTCACGTACCAGAGGCAACTGATTGATGTGTTCTCTCTCTCTCTCTCTCCCTCTCTCTTTCTCTCTCTCTCTCTCTCTCTTAAAAAAAAAGAAAAAGTGAGGCTTAAAGAAATACAGTGACCTTGATTGTGGCAACCACCACTGCCATGAGGCAGCTGCAGTAGGGAAGGGGCACGCAGGTTCTGGAGCAGGGCCTTCAAAGGCGCCCTTTAAGGCCATTCTCAGAGCACAAGGAGGCAAGCACACGGACCAGGGTGCAGCAGGCAGGTCAAGTAAGAGGAAAGTGGGCAGTGGGGAAGAGGAGAGGGTGAGCGAGGACAAAGGCCAAGGGGGTGAAGGGGCAGGCAGGAGTATATCAGCAGCACGAACCCACTCACGATTCTCAAAGTAAAACTTATGGAAATCCATTCCCTCCACGAGGTTACCGAGGGCTTCGGGCTCAAAGGAAGTGAGGCCTGGATCACAAATCTTCCTGCAGAAAAGAAGCAGCAGCCTGTCAGTCTTCCACGGGGATTACTCGTCTTTCCTCCTCATTAGCGGGTCTATCCTGCAGGAGGTTAGCTTTGGGCCAGGCCGGACAAGATGGCTGAGATCTGAGGGGCACGCCTGCTAAGGCCTCTTAGCCCTGCCCTTCAGCCTGCTGCCCGCCAGCACCCCACGGGAGGGCTCAACCAAGGGTATCTGCCTGGAAGGGCTCCCGACCTAGCGGCTTGATGTTTAACTGGCACACTGGGCCCGAGGCCCAGCCCTCCCTTTCCCCAGGGTCCTAGCTGCTTTGGGGGAGGAGGGAGAGGCCTTGAGAAACTTGAGCCTCAGTGAATGAGGTCTCTACTCACGTGTAGGCCTCAAAGTCTCCATTGTTGATGGCCTCAATCAGCTGTTCTGTGATCTTAATGATCTCCTGTTTTCGCACTGTGGGGGGGAAAAATCCAGGAGTTTACCTGCGTGGGACTGGGGAGCTCCTAAGTGGCGGAGAGCCCCCCGCCCAGTCTTCAAGGATCCCCTGTGATCTCTTTGACAAAGACATCCCTCTTCTCTGTCTTTAAGGCGCTTTGCAGGAAGCGTGAGCCCACCTCTGTCTCCATCCCTCCTCTGTCATCTGCAGAGCTAACGACCCCCTCCTCCCGAAGGTTTGTTATGGTTCTCTGGCATTTGTCTCCCTCTCCATCAGCAACCAGGCTGCAGAAAACACTCGTCTCTAACAGCGGAGGAGCCTGGCACATCATGAATACTCCGTGCAGAGACGTGCATCCCATCTCCAGCAGGTTCAGCTCCTCTAAGAAGCTTCTCCCGATAAGGCTGTTTCCCGATAAGGTGTGGCTGACGTCTCTCACCGGAAGGGGCTCAGTCAGGTCTCAATTACCATGCCCCCCACTTCCACCCAGCCCCCACTCAGTGGTCCAGAACCTCACCCCAGGCAACAGCCAGCCTGAGAGCAGAATCCAGCCAGGGATGAGGGCTCCCAAAGCATGAATGTTAGGATGGATGCTTAATGCCCTTCCCCCTGCTCGTCTCCTCCACAGGGCTTTTCTGAGATGAAGGATCTTGGAACTATAAACACTCTTTGTAAACAGAGCCTCTCACCAGAAAGATGGCTCCATTTACCCTGGACAAGCCCTGAAAAACTCTAAATCTCATGCCAGGATGTGTCCCCCAGGAAAATCAAGACAAGCCACAGACTGACAGGCAAGCAGCGTTGGTGCCCTCAGAGCCCCCAGCCATGCCAAGCCGAGGGACTGCTGGTGACACCCCGGGCTCAGGGCCAGATCACTTACAGGGGGCACCACTGTCAGCAGCGGGTGCTGCCGGGGGAGGGCTCAGACTGAGACCGGGCTACCCCTGACCAGAACCTGGGCTGGCCCAGGACTCAGGCCTTTCCTCACAGGAGCGAGAGGCTGCAAGACACATGTGAGCGATTAGAACAGCACAGCCCAGTGGCACAGCTGGGAGAGGGCAGGGCAGCCAAGGGGACGGCCAGGTGGGGCCCCACCGCCATCAGCACCTTCAGGTAAGCAGCAGGTTAGCGGGACCAGCGAGCTCTATCCGAGTTCTAGAGGCGCGCACACACACACATACACACACACACACACATACACACACACACACTCCCACCCCGCCAAACCCATCATCGGACCTGACTGGGGCCCTGTGGGTGAAGAGGGTTGTGTTTAGAAACTCTAACAGGACAGACAGTAGGAGGGAAAGAAGCAGACAAAGACATGATCTACACAGACACAACTGAAAATACCCATACCGGCTGCCATTAACCTAGCAAGGCATCGTGTCAACATGTTCTACCACCTCATTTATTTTTCATCAGAATGCGATGAGGGAGGGGTCACTGTATTCCCATTCCACAGAGAGGAAACGAACTCTGGGAGGTTTAATCTACTTCCCACATTTCTGAAAGCTCTGCAGCTGGGATTCAAACTCAGGCCTGTCCCAGCCAAGCCCCAGGCTCTCGCTACGATATGCTGAGCCCAGGAAACACCACATCCCATCGTGGTTTCTCAGCCATCACAGCTTCCCCATCGCCCGCTCCCACCCTCTCCGACTTCTGACTCGGCCTTTCTTCCTGGCTCAGTGCTGAGGTGAGACCCAGTGCTCATCCCAGTGACTTCCTGCTCCTTCCCACCATGCAATGCTCTCCCCCCCACGCTGTGTCTCTGGGCCCCGGTCTCAGGCGCCCCTGCCTGGTTAACAGCGCCTCCAATCAGCTCCCCCACCCAGCAGGGGCCGAGCTCCCAAAGCTCACTCAACAGGACGGGGCAGCGGAGCTGGGCGGCCAGCTCTGGGGGGATCCCTGAGGGGCTTCAGGAGGAGCCAGGGAACGGAAGCCAGGTCGTGCCTCCCTCACACTTACTGGCTGAGGAGCAGAGAGAAGGCTGGGGCTGCATGCCTGCAGAGGGGGCTGTTCTGTCCCGGGAGCTCCGTCCTTCGGGCACCGAGCTGCCATTCCCAGTGCGGAGCGGGGCAGCTAGCCAGCCAGGGCAGGGCAGGGCAAGGCAGAGCAGCCAAAACAAACAGAACAAGGCAGGTGAGCGAGCAAGCCGAACAGGACCCGCGCCCGTGGCCCTGCGGAGCCTGGGCAAGGCGATGCCTCGGGCTGCTGTGGACACTGGGCCTCCCAGCCAAGAGCCCCAGGAAAGTGCACTGACCTAGGCTTTGGCTTCCAGAGGGGCCTTCACACAGCCTGTCCAAGGGCCCCTGCTCCCCGGGGAGGTGTTCTAGGGGGCTCGGCTACCAGGTCAAGAGCCCAGCAGCGAAGGAGCCACGTACTCTGCCGGCATCACCAGAATTGAGCTGACCTGACCTTCGCCCCAGCAGCCCCGAGCGACTGTTCTTTCCGGTCGTACACTTTTATGCTTCTATATTTTTTGGGTCCCCAAAGGTTTGGTGCCCCCTGGCTACCCCAGGGCATGCTCTCTCCGCTCTGTCCTGCAACATTCCTCCCTGTTTTCTGAAAGCCTGGCCTAAGGTCACCCAGCGAGGCAAAGGGAACGACTCTAGGCCAAACCAAAGAGCAGGACAGAGACGCCCAGTGGTCTGACCAAAGAGCAGGACAGAGACGCCCAGTGGTCTGGCCGCCATGCCCTCCCACATCCCCTGGCACTCTGGCCAGGACCATGCTTGGGCCGGTGGTCCTTACAGCATCACCAGGACATCGCCAAGTGGGTTCCGACTCCACTGTTGGTGCCAAGGCTTTGTGGCGGGAGTGCCCCACTCCTCCCCATGTGCCCAGGCCTGTTCCGGTTTTAAAACAGAAAGCTGCACATCTTGGGAACCACCTCAGTCCTGGGGGTACGGAGACAACTGGTCACCCTACTGACAGCTCACGATATCTGTGGGTTACTTCTGTAGGGACTCCAGGGGTCCCTGCTGTGGGGTGACACAGCATTCTCTGCAACAGGAACAGGTCTCTGAGCCCTGGCCCTGGACAGGCTCGGAAATGACTCTAGTTCAGCTATTCCAGACTCGGGGCCAGAGGAGACAGGCCCCTTGCCTAGCCCAGCCACAACGGACAGGAGCCTCCCATCGCGGCCCACGGAGGGCAGCGTTAGGCCACACCCTCCTCTGGAGTAGACAGAGCCACCCATCTCCGCTCGGGGGGCAGGCAGGCAGGGGTTCCACTGGAGCCGGGCACCTGGGACACGGCTGGCGTCCCTTCCCCACCCAGGGCCAGCACCTACCTTTGAGGTCCTCGTCTTCCGTGGTGGTGTTGCAGCTCTCCGTGGAGCCCTGGAGGCCGGAAAGAACATGCTTGTAGTTACGCAGGCCCCTGGGAAACCCGAGCAACCAAGCAGAACAAAAGCAGAGCCCGTGCTTGCGCAGGGAGGGATCCCAGGCGGTTCCGTGCCCACCCCGGCCGCCTGACTCACAAAACTCGGGGGTCCCAGCTCCCTCCCCAACTCAGGAAATGGCACCACCGATGCTGCCACCTGGGCGAAAACCTACAGTCACCTCCTAGGTTTTTTGGTTGATTCTCTTTTTTTCCTTCTTTCTCTCATATCTCAGTTATGCCATCTAAAATCAAATCTGTCCTTTCTACCTCCAAAATAAATCCCATCTCACCTCCACCTGCGTCTAAGCTACCCACATCTGGCACCCGGACTGCTACAATCACTTCCTGGTCTCCTGCTCCCCCGCTTGCCTCCTATGACATGGCCAGAGTGGCTTTTCAGAGTCCGTCGGACTGTATTACCCCCCTGTCTGAGAATCACCAACAGCTTCCTGCCACTGCTGGAATAAAATGCAAACCCTGCCCGCCTCTCCAACTCCCCCACCCTCCCTGCTCCCCTGCTCCCCGGCCCCTTGCTCTTCGTACTCGGATCTCTGCTTGATTTCTTCTACTTCTTCACTCTGGATACATGCCAAGCCCCTGAGTTTGCCTGGCTGCCTGGCTCCCATCGTGTAGTTCAAATATCACCTCCGGACCACGTCATCAAAGGCCCTGTTCACTCTTGACTTTGTGCCATTTCCTTCATAGCACTTATCACAACTAGACTTTCTCTTAGTTATTTGGTTTTTGGTTTATTGTCTGCCTTCCCCACACCCGTGGAGAGGGATTTTGTCTTGTTACATCTATAAAACAGAACTATGGGCAGTTTGGCTCAATGAATATTTGCGACTGGGAGTGAACAGGAGACAAGGTTATTGAGGACATAAAGCTGAGGCCAAGGAGAGTGTCCCAGGGCCTGATGATATTCTTGCTCTGTTTTCCTAGCTGACGTTTACTCTCATTTACACTTCGCCGGCCACGGAAGACAGTTCTGTGACTATTACCCCAGTTGACAGAGAAAGTAACTGAGAGGCAGAGCAGTCGAGTGTCCTGTCCGGGGTCCCAGGGCCAGGATTCAAGCCCCGGCCTGTCCGACTGAAGAGCCTGAGCTCAGCATCACTAAGAACGGAGTAACTGCCCGGTCAGCGTGGCTCAGGGGCTGAGCACTGACCTCTGAGCCAGGAGGTCACGGTTCGATTCCTGGTCAGGGCATATGCCCTGGGTGCGGGCTCGATCCCCAGTAGGGGGCGTGCAGGAACTGATCAATGATTCTTTCTCATCATTGATGTTTCTATCTCCCTCTTCCTTCCTCTCTGACATCAATAAAAATGTATTAAAAAAAGAAAAAGAAGGGAGTAACCAACAGCCTAGACTCTGCAAACACCTTGGCCCTGACGTTCAGCCTGCAGGCTGCCATCTGTGGGGCCCTCGGATCCCGTGATGCAGCCCACGGGTTCCCTGCTGACACGGAAGCAGGGGGCAGCTCAGGACCCACTCACCTTGATCCCGTCTGTAGCGTTGTGCACTACGGTGGTTTGTGGCTCCTGTGAGGGAAGATTAAAATTACCCTCCTGACCTCGGAGACAGACTTACTGCTCTTCCCTGGGGGACCCCCACCCCTACCCAGGCACCCTCAGAGACCTCTATAATGACCACTGGGGCCTGCCCACTAGCCATTCTCACAAGACAAAATATCCTGACATGATTGGGTCCTAGGTAGCCAGGAGCCCCAGATTTAGGGGACAGCACTGGCTGGTATAAAAGAGAGGCCTGGCCATGGAAGCAGATACCAGGGGAGCTGAGAGGAAGAGGGTCTCTGACCCCGATTCCTGCTCGTTCTGAGTTTTCTCTCCCCGAGGGACAAGTACACTGGGGGAGCTGTGGGGCTAAGGGCACAGGCTGGACCCCACCGACAGTGATCACCACGGGGTAGGCCGGAAGCAGGGAGAGCGGACTAAGGTGTCCCAGAAAGACCCAGGGTGCCCCCGCAGCAAGCTGAGCCCAGAGCTGCCTGCTTCACCCACCTCTGCCTTCCCCAGGTCCCGTCCCTACGTCAGCATGTCAGGCAGCATGAGGGTCCACAGAAAGCAGGAGGAGCAGCAGGCATGGTTACCCCTCCCTCTCTCCTAGTCACCCCCCTGCTCCCTCCTTAGCCTGCACTAGCAGAGGGAGCTCTGGGAGCGCACGATGCCCCTCCGAAGAGCCAGAGAGAACTCAGGGCACAAGCAGCACGGGGCTCTCCAGAAACCCAGAGATCAGCACCATCGGGGGTGGGGGGAGGGACCCCAGCCCTCCTTCGTGTTCATGAATTGCAAAGGAAAGGCGGAGGCAGATTTTATAAGGAGGCCTCCAAGAACTGACGTACAGGTGCCGAGAAAGCTCCTACCCTCTCCTTTTATAAGCAACTGACTTTCCTGGCCCCCAAAGCAGACCCACTGGGGGCCCAGCCTGGGGCTGGGAGGTTTAGCCGAGAGCCCCGACAGTGACAGGAGCAGGAGCAGTTCTGCCGTGCAGGAAGGAGCGCGGTCAGCCGGGACAATGAGGGGGAAGGGATCTGTGGGGAAGTACACGAAGCAGCCTGATCTACAGGAATCCAGAAAGGAAGAGAGCCAGAGAGGCCTGGGCGGGAGGGCAAGAAGAGGACGAGGGAAGGAGCAGGAGGCAGCCGGGGGCAGGGGCGGAGAAGCGTAGTCAGGAGGTACCATGGCCGTCTGCAAGGGCGCAGGCTCTTGGGCTGGGCTTACGAGACTGTTTTTGTTGTTGCTCTGTGGCTGAGACAAGAAAACAGATGGTTTAGTTCCTCTAGAGTCACCAAAGCAGCTCAGGTTCGACTCCCAGACCTCCCTTGCCCCCTGGCCTGGCCTGGAGGAGCTAGGGCGCAGGTGGCCTACAAAACACTACGCGGATGGGAGCGGTGGCTGGAGAGATGATCGAAAGAGGGGAGCAGTTGGAGGGGGTCCAGAGACTTAGCTCTGGAAGCATCCTCAAGGTGGGGCCAGCCTTCCAAAGACTGGTTAGGGCATCTCTCCAGAACTCTCTGCTCCAGCCAGATGCAAGGTCACTGCACAACCATAGTCACCCAAAGAAACGCAGGAACTTCTCATTTCACAAGGGGAAAAGGAAGGTGACTTATAAGAAAGCAGAACAAAACTCAGAAACGCTGCGTCTCCTATCTGTGGGCGTTCTCCTGGTGCCCTTTCAACCTGCCACCTGCACTCCCTTCCCTTACAGCACCAGCTTCAAGCCTGACCTGAAAGAAGCGGAACAGAAGAGAAAGGAAACCTGGTCCAGGAGGTGGTGTCCGAGAGGAAGGGGTGGGACTTGGCTTTGCTTAGAATATGCACCTACTGACCCAGGGAGCAGACAGGAGCGCACTGCTGGCCTTGCCGCCCGACAGCTCGTGGGCGGGGTCAGCTGCCAGTAAGGACTGAGCTCCAAGGAGGGGCCAGTGAAGCCTGCTGGGGGCTGTGGCTGCAGTCCCAGAGCCCAGCCCCCAGGAAAGAGGAGGCCGAGGGGCAGGCCAGCACTCCTACAGCAGAGACCACCGGGATATCTCATCTTTCAAAATGTCACACTGAGCGGCACAGCAAGGGAGGTGGGGGGGAGGGTGGCCGGGAAGGACGGAGGCAGGGCGTCGTAGCGATGCTCTCCCATCGGACTTAGTCTCATGAGTGTCCAGTGGAGCTGGCGGCCCCTGAGAAGGGGCCTGATGCCTGCAAGTCCTTCAAAAGGCACAGAGACAAACGCGTGCACACCACCTCTGCGCGGGCGCAAATGAGGATACACGCCAAAAGCTACCCAGATGGTTTCTTCTCGCCTGGGGGCCTCTTCTCCAGCCCCGTGGACCAGACCTGAAGCCATCCACCCTTCGCTCGCTGAGGCATCCCAAACCCAGGTCTGGGCATGGAACCTCAAACCAGGAACCAAGCGCTACAAGACACCACTGAACGCAGCAGGCTGAGAAGAGGGGTTCCAGGAGCTAAGACGTGGGTCTAAACTCACAGGAGCTCTGCTCTCTCCCATTCCCCCCGTGAAGGAGCAGAGCCCCCCTAGCTCAGCAATGACATGACCTTCTGGGCGGGGCTGCCTGGCCAAGGCTGTCTTGCGGGCAAAGCCCAGCTGAGATAGATCCTGGCACAGTGGGAGGACGCCAGGGTGTTCATAAAACCTGTCCTATCTGAAGAGGGCTGGGATGCCCCCCGGGCTGCCCCGCCTCTGGCTTTAATGGACGGTTTCATAATGACTCAGGCTGCCGTGTTGCTCTTGGTGCCCCGCGTCCCGTGAGAAAGAAGATGCGTTCCTGCTCTGGCCCCCTGGCCGGTGAGCTCAGCTGGTTGGAGCATCGTCCAGGACACCAGGTGGCAGGTTTGATGACTGGTCAGGGCACATATCCAGGTTGCAGGTTCAAGCCCCAGTAGGGATGGGGCGTGGGAGAGGCAACCAATCCGTTTTTCTCCGCCCCCCCCCCCCCCCCCGCCCCTTCCTCTCTCTCCGAAATCAATGAAAACCATGTCCTCAGGTGAGGATAAAAATACAAGGGCTCCCTGTTGTCTTTCGGCTGTTCCCCGAGGGCTGGGTGGGAAGGATAAAACGCTGGGCACTGCTAATGGGCAGCTGCACAGGGGAAAAAGCCAGGAGAGTGAGGCTCAGAGACCTGAGCCTTCAGCCAGCTCTTCTGCCCACCGGACGTCCACCGGCTGCCAGTCTGCAGGAAGTCGCTGTCCGTGCCCGGGGAGCAGGGCCTCGCCTCCTGGGCAGCAGTGAGTGAGGGTCTCTCCCTGTGCTTGTCCCTGGCCCCGGGTCCCTGCCAGCTTCACCCGCTGCCCTGGGTTGCGGCAGGCACATTCCAATGCCCACCTTTTAGGCTCCTGGGGGACCTTGGGCAATGGCCCCCGCCCCGCAGGACGGGCCACACCTGCCCACACAGCACAGACATGCAGTGAGGATGAGTGAAGCGCACGCACATGGCAGAATGGGTTTGCGTGGCCGGCAGGCGGGCACAGGCAGCATGGAGTGGGCAGATGGGTGGGCAGGCAAGGCTCACCATTAGGTGCACGCTGGAACTTGACTTCCTTTTCTGGACACACCACAGCAAGAGGGAAAGAACAGGAAAGAGGAGGTAAGAAGAGAAGCACAGAGACGCTGCAGGTTAGTGCACCAGCGTAGGCTCTGCCTCGGGAGAAAAGAGCCGAAGGAGGAGACCCGGAGTCCAGGACACATGGGCTCCAGCCGCTGGGAGAGAAGAACGCCTTTGCCGTCAGGCGCACACACACAGGTTTAGTATGTTCAGAGAGCCCTCGGCCTTGCTCAGAGGAAGCTGCTAGAGGAGATTAAGTCACAAGTCTGGGAGGGTGAGTAACATTTCCATGCAAATTTACAGCTTTGGGCTTATTTTCTCTCATTACTAGGTCTGCCTGAAATACGGGTGAGCAGCTACCAGGCAGGTGGTCAAAGTACTCAGACCATCCTCAGATTAATCACATTTGACTTCTGAACTTTGACATTTTTTTCCTCCTTTTTGCTGCCCACCTAAACTGCTTCTGGATGAAGATGTTGAGCTTTTAAAAATTATTTCACAAACAAAATCTGGCATCCCTTCCATCGGCGTGGCCACCCTCGTTGGTAAGATTTCAATGTTTTCCTTCATTTTGCAATGAGTTGGGAAATGGAAAGATAGAGGAGTGCTGGTGATCAGAAGTACAGCAATCACAACGACAGAGATGTAAACCATGGGGAATGCTGGAAGCAGTGACTGATCAGCCGTCACCAGATGCTCATGGACTTTATGTTCAGATGTGAAACAAGAGCATAAAAATAAAGAGCACATGGAACACCGAAAATACATCTCAGAAGACTGAGTCTGAAAGGTGAGAGGTAATTAAGAACCTTCTAATTAGCTGGCTGGGAGACGGAAGTCCCCTTGGACCACGGCTGCCTGCTGTTTGACTATTGCATGCTCGTTTAACGCTACCCCACAAGCACTCCCGGAGGGCTGTTCTGGCCACAGTGATCAAGTCCGAGAAACGCTCCTGCCCTCAGGAGGCTGGCACTCTGTGTGGTGCTGTTGTCACATGATCTTTAAGTGAAATGTTGTCCTTTGTGGTTCTTAACTAGCGGCATTCCACTGCACCACTGATGTCATCTGTGATGTCATGAGGGTGGCGGCCACAGTCTGGGCAGTCCTGGGATCTCTGTAACGGTTCCAGAGAGTTCTCTAGCTAACGGCTGGTGCTGCGTCTGTCCGGCGATATTGACAATCTCATCAAAAGTGGTATTTCCAGTGTGTTCCATGTTTTTTGCTTCTTCCTGGCTGTTGGTGGTTCTGTGAAGGCTTTGATGGTCAGGGCAGAGGGAGAAGGCACTAAACTCAACCCGGGCCTGACTGCTCTGATTGGTCCCTTTTACCGTAATCCTCAGACCCTTCCAATCACTGGTTGCTCCCGCGCTGTCATCTTACATTTTTGGCGACAAACCCGGGGGGTGGGGCTGGGGGGAGCCAATCTTGTGGCACTGCCTTCCCACCGGTGTTCCTCAGGTACAATTTGGATCTGTTGGGTTCGAACTCCAGTGACGTGGTGGAGGCGGCTGGTGTAGGAGGAACCGGATTCGGGGTGACCAAAGGATGGTACGCCTCCTCCAAGCCCAAAACCAAAAGAACGGAAGAGCCTTCGGCTCTGCCGGATATCCTGACACTCTACTTTAGAAGGCATCTCTGGGAATGTTATTATATTAAAAAAAGAAGGGAATACAAATACTTAAAAGAATGGTCCACAATTAGGAATTAGATCTAAAGAAAAAGAAAGCCTAAATATAATGAGGACTCTTGTGCATTCGCCTTTCATATATGCCAAAGACAATACGAGATTTTACTTTCAAAATCACCCCTCAAAAAGAGGGAGTTGCCTTATATTCACACTTATCCCTTCACTTCATCCAACTACCAGTGGTCGGCAAACTCATTAGTCAACAGAGCCAAATATCAACAGTACAACGACTGAAATTTCTTTTGAGAGCCAAATTTTTTAAACTTAAACTATATAGGTAGGTACATTGTTATTAACTTAATTAGGGTACTCCTAAGGCTTAGGAAGAGCCACACTCAAGGGGCCAAAGAGCTGCATGTGGCTCGCGAGCCACAGTTTGCCAACCACGGGACTAGACTGTTAAGGAAGGCGGTCCATATCTTCTTTATCTTTGTAATCTCCATGGGGCCTTACGGAACGCCTTAAAGTTATCGTACAACCAACTAACGTTTACTGAGTGGCACTGGGTTCGCTGACTGGCTTTGCCCCGGCAAAAGCAGAGCACAGGCGTCCGACTCGCCCAGAATCCGATCAGTGGAACTGCGGGAGCCGATCCAGGCCCAGGCTGGGCGCGGGTAGTTTCGGGAGCTGTCATCACAGGTTGTTTACAGCGGGTTGTTCTACCCGGGCCTTGCCTTGCCCTCAGTTTGTCTACTTCACTTAACGGGCAGTACCTTCCCAACTTGCTCCCAGCTGACTGTCCTTTTCCTAAACGGCCTTTCATGAAACCCCGAGATAATCTCGTTCTACTCAAGTGTTAGTTTCTTCTAGGTGAGCTGTTTTCTTTCCATTCCTTTCTCCATCCTTCTGGGGCTTTGGCCTCCGCCATGCAAAGCCAGCACACGGCAGCACTGTTTCAATACCAAGTCATTTCTCAAGAACCACATCCCATTTAGATTTAAAAATTAAACATTTATTTAAAATTTCAAACCAGAAAAGGGTTCCAGCCTCCTTTCCCATACTTAAACAAATATTCAAACAGTACTTAAGGAAATATCTATATCCTTTTTTTCTCTCTCTTCTTAAATATTGGATGCCATTGTGGCCTGGAACTAGCAGAACCCATGAGTGGTCCTTAACTAGGCACCTCTGGAGATCTGAGAGTTGGTGGCCCCTCCAAGTGGCTCTCCCTATTCCATAGACCTTGAGTCACAGGCATCCACATTCAAAGAAACCTAACTAGAACCCAAAGTCCGCAAATTCAAGACCACAAAGGAGACTCGCTGCTCAAATTGATGCTATTCGAGCATCTTGTGGTGGGAGCTCCTGGACAGCGAGAAGGAAACCACTCGATGGGCCTCAGGCAGCAGGAACTGGGGCAGGAGGAGCTTGGGCAGGAGGACAGGATATAAAAGCATCTTCTGAGCAACATCACAGCCTCCCTCACAATCCAGGTTATCGCCTTCACGTTCAGAAAACCAAACCCCACATCCTGGTTTCATCCAACCACGTCACTATCATCTACTTGTTCCTGATTATAAAAGGACTGCAGCCACATCCCAAGCAATTTGGGCAACAGAAAAGAAGGGGGAAAAATCCATAATGCTATCACTCTTGCCAGTCTTTTCTTATACAATTTAAAAGTGCCATTTATAAGCTATCTACAAGTTTATGCTTTACTTTAAAAGAAATACTATTTTGATTTTTATTCTGGTTATCAACGTAATGCATCATCTAGCTGAAATATGCAGGACATACAGAAAAATGTATAAAATAAAAGTTTCCTAAATTCCCATCGCCCAGTGAGGTTAACAACATGTCAGTGGGTTTTCTTCCAGTTCATTTTCCATCCACCTGCCATATACTGAATATGGTCTATAAACACATTGTTTTTTTTAAAAAAAACACAAATGTAGATAGTAGAGTATGTCTGCTTTACACCCTACTTAATATAAAGCATCTCTGTCATTGTATCACATCTCTGTCATAACTGTCATGACAATTAGTAGCTTTATAATGGTCTATTATGGGTTTCCCATCATTCCTTAGTCATTACCTACTGGCTTTTGAGATCATCTCCAATCTTTTCACAGCTACAAATCACGTCACACTGAACATCTTCTCGCTTTCAGTTTTTTCTACATTTTGAATGATCTCTTTAGGATAAATTCCCAGAAGCAGACGTAAAGGGTAAACGAGGCAGGCACACGCAGACTGCTTTACAAAAGGTCATCCTGACTTTTCACTAACTCGAAGAGTCAGAAACGGCACTCTGTTCTGACTTGGTTTCTCTAATCTTAGTGAGGCTAAACCTAAACACCCATATGGGAGCCACTTCTTCCTCCTTTTCAGACAGATTGTCAGTTCATCTTCTCTGACCATGATCTGCTGGGTTTTAGGGAGGATTCTTATTTGTTAGAGAAATCTCTTTTGTATAAAAAAAATAATATTAACTCTTCCCATCACACCTGCTGTGCTGGTTTCCCCCAGTTGGTCTGTTGCTGGCCTTTTAATTTGGGTTGGCCATCCTCTTCGCAAACACTTGCAGCATCTCAGCCTCTGGGGTCCCACCACTATGTCCAAAGTCTTTCCTCAAGAGTCAGACTCATTTACTGGGCACATCAGGTCAGACGCTGGCTGGGTTCCCCCCGGTTTTCATTCAGAGCAGTTTAGTGATTTTGCCCCCCGAGTTCTCATCCTTCCGCGTTCCTGGAAGGTACGTTGTTGCATACCCGTTCTTTCCCTTCCTCCTGTTCTGCCTGCATTCCCTTTGCTGAGTCCTCTTCTTTTCCAGCCCCTTAATAACAGACAACCCCCAAGTTTTGTCTTTACTGGACTCTTAATCCTTCATGGATTCACATGGGGGAAGGGGAAGTATGATTAAAATTCAGACTCTACCTCCCACCCAGGGCTTTCTGAATCTAGATCAGCCGTGGGCAAACTACGGCCCTTTTGACATGAATAAAACTAAAAAAACAAAAGACCGTACCCTTTTACGTAATGATGTTTACTTTGAATTTATATTAGTTCACACAAACACTCCATCCATGCTTTTGTTCCGGCCCTCCGGTCCAGTTTAAGAACCCATTGTGGCCCTCGAGTCAGAAAGTTTGTCCACCCCTGATCTAGATTCTAGGTTACCCTGGAATCTGTACTTTTGATTAGCTCCTTAGGCTAACCTTACATGGCCACACCTGACGGTCATCCGTTGGGCCAGCATCTAGGCAGTTCTGCTTGAAATGTGTCCCTTAATGGCTCTTTGATTCACCCTCTCACCGCCATCTCAGCGGTCACTGCTTTATTGCAGCTCCTATTTGGCGCACTCGCTGTTTGCTTCAGCCAGACACAGGTCCTCAAGTTCCCAGAATCACTGTGCTGCCCAAACTCGTGTACCTCCACACGTGCTGTTCCCTCTATCTGGAATATTCTTCTTCCTTCTCCTCTCCTTAACCTGGCAAAATCCAGCGAATCCTTCAAACTCAGTTCATGGGCTGTCTTCACCAGAACGTTTTCCTGTTCTGGCCCCGATGCTGGTCTCTCGCGTCCCTGCTCCTGCAGCCCTATGCACACCCCCTCAGGGACCTCGCCAGGGCGCACCAGGACTGGTGGCTTCCCTGTCTCCCCCACCGTGAGCACTTCAAGGGCGGACTATGTCGCTGCTCCCCAACTCCCGAGGCACAGACCTGGCTGAGCGGGCGGACTGGTGATGCACTCATGCGAGTCCCCATTTGCACGTCCAGTGCAGCCCTCCTCCCCCAGTCTTTCCAGCACCTTAAAGACCTCTCCACCCAGGTCCCTGCCGCCTCGCAATCTCAAGGTGGTCAAAACAACCTTCTCTTCCCTCCCCTGGGCCTCCCGTCCCACTACCCCATTTCTAGCAGAGGCACCACCAATTCTTTCAACATTCCAGAACTTTTGTAACCTTTGATGGGTCCTTTTTTAACCCTCCCCGCCCCCCTTCCTTTGACACATCTCTAAGCAGAACTAACATCTCATCAGACCCCAGCATCCAGGGGCACAGCTAGACCCACTGCCCACAGGCAACCCCTGTTCTGACGGTTGGGTATTTTGACTATTACCCCTTTCTACTTCTAATCACCTTGTCTTCACCCTGCGCCCAGACTGTAACCAATCCTAATCGATACCTCTGTGTCTGGCTTTTACACTCTTCTATTTGTCCTTAACACCCTCAGCTACGTCTTTAAAGAAAAAAAATATCCCACTCACTGTAGCTTCCTTCTCAGTGGCCTTCAGCGTTTCCTGTGGTCTGACATAGCCCTGCAATTCCTCTGCCCAACCAGACCAACCCAGCTGTAGCTCTGACACCCCTGAGCCACACACCCCATGTTCCAGGTGGGCAGGACTATAAAAACATTTCCTGTTGTTTAATGTTATAGAATACATTCTCATTTCAAGGGAAATACTAAAGAACAAAAGGTGTGTTCCCTACCCTGTCCTCACCCCTAATCCCACTCCCTGGAGGCAATTACTGACTTGGTTCCAAGAAGCTTTTCCTAGAAGCTTCTCAAACAGAACCATCTCGGGTAGGATCCAGTACCACAGGCCATTCCGTGCTGGGCTGGTTCCAGGCGTGTCCGTTTTCCTCTTTAACTACCTCGCCGCTTCCTAAAGCCGGATGACAGCATCACCTCTTTCTAAAGCATCAGCTTCTACACGCTTGGGTGCTCCTAGAACTGAGTGCAGCCCTGGGCCAGATAGGTACGTATTACACACTCCGTAAAGGTTGATTGATTCTAGCTAGTCCCCCAAACAGAGATATGCAACATCTCTCTCCGACTACGCCTGCCACCTTTCCTATCTTGGTTCCACCCATCCAGCTCATGTCCTCATAACGGGAAGGGGCAGCGGTCAACCCCAGCACCATGCCAGCAGGCGTGCGCAGAGCCCGAGCTCCGCTCCCTGGGGCAGGAGTACACAGCAGCAAGCACGCAGAGAATGAAAGGAGGAGGAAGGTGGGCGGGCGAGGAAATGGGGCACACGTATCTATCTCAGCTGGGGACAGAGGATCCTGGGGAAAGGCGTAGCTTAAACATTTGCTGGGATTTAAAGGTTTGGATAATTGCAGTTTGAAATGCTCCGTGGTGTAAACTGATAGGCTTCAAGATAGCATGAACTCCCATCCCATGCCCTGTCCCCAGCCCTTTCTGACCCCAAGGCATCTACAGGACACCTTGGGCCCTGTGAGGACCCCCAGCCACCTCTCCTCCACTTCGGCCAAGCAGTCACTCACTCTAGGGGTTCCCGCTGGTCCCTGCAGGCCCCTAGTCCCTCCTCGTTCCCTGGCCCCACAGGAAAGCGCCCTTACCTAACGGGAAAGCTGCGCATACCACATCCCTCGCCTGCTTCTGAGGGGCCTACGCCCTGATCAAGTTTAAGACACTTTCACTTAGAGGTAGCTGAGCTGGGTCCCAGAAGTGCTTCGAGGTAAGGAAAGACCAAAAGGATTATGGCTTCAGGCAAACTTTGCTTTCATTTGATAAAAAAGGGTTTGTGCTTCAGAAAGAACAAGAAAAAAAAAGTGAACCAAAATGACTTAAAAAAACCCAGAGAGTCAAAAGCCCTGCAAATGAGGCACCTGTCTGGAAGTCAAGCTCGGGATTCAGCTTTAGTCAAACCATCGTTTGGATCGGTTCCCCGGAGTCTTTTGGATCAGCTAGGCTCAGGAGAAACACACCTGCCTTCTGCCCTCTCAGGCCAGTGGAACCTGCTGTTCCGAGCACACAGGTTTCTGGTTTAAAGCAGAAAAGCAAGGACAGGAAGGGTCCCAGGGAAAGGGGGGAATAAGGGGCCAAGAATCCCCATCAATGGCTGCAGGAGAGAGAGGCCGGTCTCCGGCTACCAGGGTGGAGACACCTACCTTGACGCCGCCGTCCGACTTCTTGTTCAATAGGCTTTTGGCAGCTGTGAAAACAAAGAGGAAAATCAAGTCTCTCGCGTTGCACCCCGTCTCCAACCTGGCGCCTGGCAGCTGGATCCACAGAGACTGCTGTGTCCGCAAAGGGGGCCGGAATCTCCGGAAACCCCCGGGAGCAGAGCACTGCCTGGCAGCCCCAAAGCACGAAGGACATCTCAAGCAGCATCAGGCCCTCGGGGTGGGACCCCAGGGTCTCCTCTGCCCTGGAAGACGGCCCGGCAGAAACAGGGACACACTGTGCTTAGGAGGAGAAACCACATTCGGTACCGGAGCCGCCCGGGGCGCTGGGAACGCTGCCTCCGACAGCTTCCACCTGGGCCCAGGGCAGAGTGCCAGGGTGAAAGGCGAGGGCTCCGCCCCTAGGTGCCATGGAGATTCTCAGGATGGCCAAGCCGGAAGGATGCAAGACATCGGAGTGTTCTCGAGAAACAGGAGCGTCACAGTTCACGAAGGAGACCAGACGTGAGGACAGACAGACACAGACACAGAGACCAGGACCACCTACAGGAGGGTTTTGCCAGGGGGTGAAGCCTTGACGGGGCAGGTCCTTACCGGGTTTACTGGGTCCTGTCTGCCACCCTTTCCCGCGTCCACTCTCTGAACCCCCTGAGCAGAAGGACCGGGCAGAGTGACAAGGCATTAAACAGAGCCCAGCCAGCACAGGGCGGTGCCCAAGCCGACGAGCTCTGTGCAGGACGGCTGGGAGCAGACAGGAGATGGGAGAGTCTGGGAGCCACAGGGAGATGGAATCAGCTCAACTGTCCGATCGCCTGGACTTCGCTGGGTTTGCATCTTAGTTCTACCACTTGCTCGCTGTGTGGCCTGGAGGGAGGTACTGAACCCCTCTGAGCCTCAGCTTTTTTCAACCCACAAAATGGGGTGAAACAGGGCCTGGGTCACAGGACAGTGATGGGATCCCGAGGGATCATGCGGGAAAAGCACTAAGCGGAGTGCTTGGCACATGGCAAATACTTGGCCAGTGTTAGCTGCTGCCGCCCTGGCCTGCAGGTGGTCATTCAGCCCACGCCGAGTCCCACCTCTCTACACTGAGAATAGGGGTCCTTCCATCGCAAGAATTCTGACCCCCCAAAATGGCCTTTGGCCCAACCTCCCTCTAGTCATGATGGGGTGATTCGAAAGTTACGTTTTTAACGTATTTACTACGAGGCCTGACCACCTACTATATTAAATGCTTTACATACATCAGAATTCTTAACTCCGGCTGCCCATTAGAATCAGTTGGGGAGCTTTAAAAAAAATGCTTACATAAGACTACCCCATGCCCTAGGGATTCTGATTTTTTTTTTTGTCTGGGGTGGAGTCCCAGCATGGGTATTTTTTTATAAGCTGTCTGTCATGTACAGGCAGGGTTGAGAGCCTTCAACATATATGATCATAATCACCACCATGATATTTGTTAGCCCCACCGGAGAGATGAGAAAACTAAGGCTGGGAGAGCGGATGTAGCTTGCTCAGGGTGTGGCAGGGCTAGGATCCAAACCCAGGACGCTGTCTCCACAGCAGCACTCTCTAGCCTTGCAGACTGAAGGCCTGAAATGCCAGGCTTCACCATGTCGAGGGGCGTGGCTTCCTCTGTGGGGTCTCCAACAGGGCCGTTGAAGCCCAGTCCTCCAGCCCTCACAGGGAGGTCAGGCTAAAGCCCCCTGCTGCCCCGCTCCATGTCCCCAAGGCTATTGCCTCCTGAGAGCTGGCAAGCGCCCAGCATGCATGGCTGGTTAAGGGGCTCCGTAACACCAATGCGCTCGCAGATGCCAAGTTAGGGGGCCCATCGGCATGCCCATCTCAGCCCGCAAGCATGGGACTCGCCTCCCTGGTGAGTGGGCCTGGCATGCTGGCCCTCCTGGTGGGGTGGCAGGGAGCCGAGGCAGGCGGTCGGTCGGGGAGGACTCATGCCACGTACCTTGCCCGGCCAGGCCGGCGGCGCTCGCTGCAGGCGGGGGGGGGGCGGAGCTCTGCCTGCCAACTGAGGGGATACAGTCTCTCAGTGCACAGAGCTGCCGCAAAGCCACGGGGGCCAGTCCACAGGAGCATGCCCAGCGAGGAGCCCGCTGGCCGCCCGCGCACAGCAGGGTCCGGGCGGCGTGGCCAAGCCAGCCGAGCTGGGGGAGCGAAGGCGCCGGGGGGAGGCCGAGGAGCAGGTGCAGCCAGCCCGGCAGCAGTCTGGGGACCTGAGAGGACTGGGCTCAGCCGGGGCGCAGGGAACGCCACGGCTCCCCTCCGGGGGAACGGCCCCAGGCCCCAGCACGTGTCCTGTGACCACCTTGGGTGAGGGTCTGGCTACAGGGAGGAGCCTGGCTGGTGAGAGGCTGTGAGGACACTGAGCCCCACTTCCCAACCTGTCTCCCCAGGGGGCCCGACTGCGGGCATTTTCAGAGAGCCCCGTGCACAGGGCAGCCCGCTCCTCTGGCCGCATTCTGGACGGTAGAGAGACGAGCACTCAGGGCCCGGGAAGGTCACGGACGTCCCACAGCCCTGGCCCCTTGGAGACGGGCTGCTCTCCCTCTCAGGCAGGGAGCCAGAGGGGCAGCTTTTCGCGGCCTGTGTTCCTCAGGGTTCCGAGCGCGAAGATGCCAAGAAGCGAGGCCCGGACGGAAAGCCCACGCTGCCGAGGCAATCCACGGCAGGAGCCCTGAT